TGTCAGGAAGTATACAAGGTGAGTAAAAGTGAAAGACCCTTTGTCACACTGTCATGTGTATTGGGCATATAGGGCTGGCCTATATTTTATAGACCAATCTGCACTTGTGCGTTGAAGCGGTCAACATCACACTAGGCGCCTTAACTTCCCATGACTATACATGGTGTCCATTCAAGGCGGAGTTGACTTGGGTCTGTCAGGACTCGAACTCACAACTATCCGATCCGCATGCGAGCGTTTGTCCACTATATCACGACGAGTTACATTTGATAATGCAAAGAATTGTGTTTTTATAAAACAATATTAGAAAATGTTATGAAAGTTCATAATTAATGTTATTTATACGTGTAGAGAAAGACATAGTATGAAATACCTGGCTCTTTTCCTTGAACTGCTCTGATAACACCACCAACACCGCAACAGAATTGTCAGCATAATCCCCACCCCAAGGACAATTGATGTAACTTCCAGGTTCCCTACACCCATCCTAGATCACCCACTGTTGAAGGAAAAGAACTGAAACAAAGCATTTAACTAAACAGCCTACCCATCGAGGAAAGCCAAGGGCTCCTGAGGTTGCAAGTAATATTGTACTGCAAATCAGCAGACACGATGTACTGATTATCCACAAAATAAATATTCGCCAAGGAACGCTTGAATCCACCCGAATGAAAAAAGCTGAGTAAATGTTTGGAATTGATTTTGATGGCTTCGGTGTTAAATAATGTTTATTGAATTGTTGATTAACTGAAAAGTATATTCTGGGTGGGGTTGTGTCAATAGATTTGTTTATTCAGTATAACCCAACTATCTGATTAGGTCAACTGGTATCTGTTTGAACTACCTGTTTGATAAAGTGTTTTACTCTTTGATTAATACGGGTTCAATTATGAATTCAATTATAAATGCATTGAACTTTGAGCATTCACAAGTTTGTTTAGAAGAATAGGTATTTATTTAGTAATTTTGGGGGATTCGCCCTATTTGTTTAATTATCTGAGTTGTCAGACTGCATTAAATTTCCTTCCATTCTTTGAACTCAGGGACTAATAAATTTAACCTAGACAATCTTAGTTCAAGCCCTGTCAAACATTAATATAGGAGGGATTATAGGGGATCTCCAGGCGAGGATACATTCCGCCAACAACGCTTACGACAAAAATAATAAACAATATTACCTTCAGAGAGTAGACAGAAAACAGATTACCACCATCAAGTAGATAAACAGCATAGATCATAACCACCATACAGTAGATAAAATAACATTTTAAAAAAAAAATACATTCATTCAATACCTCCATACAGTAGAAAAGGTAATATATAAAATAACATGAACCATTACCAACATAAATAGATAAAATAATACATAAATTAACATACACCACAACCACCATAAAGTATGTAAATATAAAATACAACATTACCTCGAAATAATATTAACATTTTTACCATACAGTAGGTAAATATAATATACAAAATTACCCTGATACAGTAGGTAAATATAATATACAACATTACCACCATATAGTAGGTAAATATAATATACCACATTACCTCAAAATAATATTATCACCAAAATATAGATAAAATAACACAGCATTTCCACCCTACAGTAGATTAAATAATACACAACATTACCTCCAGATACTATACCACATTACCTCCATCCAGTAAATATAATAAACACATAACTTTGAAACCATACATAAGATAAAATAATAATAAATAACATTACTATTATACAGTAGATGGAAATAACGCATAACATTACGACTAGACAGTAGATAAAATAATATACAACATTACCATCATAAGGTAGATAAAATAACATGACATTACAATTACACAGAAAACAGAAGATACAATTTTACCTCCACACATCAGAAAAAGCAGCATAAACGCTACCATACAGGATCAGTTCATACACTGGAAACATATAAGACACCAACACACACAACAAAACAAATGTTCAAAAACCAGTTTAGATTCAAAAAGGAAAATCTCTAAGGTGTGTATAATAAAAAGATAATAACTGCTCGTTGGAATGTGCATCACATCAATAATCAAGTAACAGCTTCACATCAATAATCAAGTAACAGCATCACATCAATAATCAAGTAACAGCTTCACATCAATAATCAAGTAACAGCATCACATGAACAATCAAGTAACAGCTTCACATGAACAATCAAGTAACAGCTCCACATCAATAATCAAGTAACAGCTTCACATGAACAATTAAGTAACAGCATCACATGAACAATTAAGTAACAGCTTCACATGAACAATTAAGTAACAGCTTCACATGAACAATTAAGTAACAGCATCACATGAACAATTAAGTAACAGCTTCACATGAACAATTAAGTAACAGCTTCACATGAACAATTAAGTAACAGCATCACATGAACAATTAAGTAACAGCTTCACATGAACAATTAAGTAACAGCATCACATGAACAATTAAGTAACAGCTTCACATGAACAATTAAGTAACAGCATCACATGAACAATTAAGTAACAGCTTCACATGAACAATCAAGTAACAGCTCCACATCAATAATCAAGTAACAGCTTCACATCAACAATTAAGTAACAGCATCAAATCAATAATCAAGTAATAAACAGTTAGAAGATCATTTATTTGGGACTTTAACCCAGTCATTAAATGCTCGAAGAAGTCAAATATGTAGGCAGAGAGGTGCAAATATCGCAGCTTTGCTGTAAAGAGGCACAACACAAATATGTCAATCGAATGAACGAAAAGAAAAAGAAGAAGATCATCAATAGTGGAGCTTTGCAATACTTAACTATTAAGAATGGCCAGCGGGAGCTACTGAAGTGGAAGTCCAACAGTTGATTCACGACAATTCACGCCCAGGTAATCTGATTATCTATACAGATGGTTCAGTTATGAAAGGAAGGAGAAGTGCCTGGGAGTTTGTAGCCAAAGCCAATGGAAAATCTTTAGTGCAAGAAAGCCTAGCCTATGATATCACAACATCTAGCATGAGAATGTAGGTGGAGGCAGCTCTCAGGTGGCTAGAGAACAAGATGCATACACATGTCGTAATTGTGACAGACTCTGAAAGCATGCTGAGAAAGGCGAAGACAGGGATGCTTCGAGCAGAGTGGCAAGCTTCACTGGGAAGGTTACAGGTAGTGAGCATTCTTTGGATCTTTTCTCTAGACCATGCCGGTGTAGTGGGTAATGAACAGGCAGAGAGATTGGCTGGATCTGCACCACTGGGTGGTGAATTGATACATGACAAGGCAAATGTGGTCATGGCCCTTCCGGAACAAGCAACGGAATCAGTAGAGAAAGAAAATTATTATGGCCTGAAGAGAATGAGGTACCTGGGTGTAACCAGAGGGTCTGGCCGGCTGACTACACACAGAGGAAAGGCAAGAAGGACATATAATCAGATTGTGACTGGTACTATCAGTATTGGAACTCTGCGTTGGCTGCTGAAGATGAGGACGGAGCACCCATGGGAATGCCACAAGAGCTATGATTCGAATTTTTGACTCAGCTCAACTCTTAACTTTTTAAGTGCATAAACAATGCACAATGTGTGTGTCTGGATTATGTTCCTGTGCACCAATCTCCTTCTTCTGTGTTCACATTTAAAAGGGTGTTGGCACACTGTGTTGTGGTTTACAGTGAGGCTGTGATATCTGTGCCTTCTAGCCCAACACAGCCTCACTAGTCACCTCTTGTGACATGCTTGTTATGGGACAGTGGGTCTAATCTGTCTCTCCACTAATGGGTTATCTGAACCCATACTGGGATGTGAACCATTCAATATGTTATGAATGTTGTTTAAACATAAAAAATAAAAAATGGAAAAACATTAAGTGTGTTAGCTTTACAGAACAAATATGACAATAGTAATAAAACACAATGTTGTGGTGACAAGCCTTCATCAGCAAACAATAACCATACAAAATTAACCAAATGTCAAATGCCATGTATTGAATATCATGTGTCACGTGTTCTCTGTTAAGAGAAATGTGTCAAGTGTCAAGCATCATACATGAAGTGGAATGTGTTAACTCTACCAGACCGCTTTACCGGTAATTTCCTAATCAGCCGCTAAACCGCTGTACCTAATTTTCGGTACTTTGCATACTACGTGAAAAAATGCATCATAAACAAAAAATAACCAACAAATCGTGATCAAACCTCGTGGTTAGTCATTGCGAATGGCTGCCCCCATGTGTTTGGATTTACTTTGTGTGGTTTAACGTGAAAAAATTTTGAAAATTCACAATGAAACGAGTGGCTGATGAATTAAACTTCAACAGGAAAGCGAAGTAGGTCTAGGCTTTTCCCAGTTTAACAGGTGATCGATACTTTGGTTGATTCAAACTCTGAGAAGTCAGAATTTCATCAAGAATACGTTCCCAGTTGAAGTGACACAGACAGTAAGAGCTTGAATGATGAGGAGAATCCTACAAATTATAGATTTAAAACTAGATCGGTTGTAAGAGAAGGGGGCGTGTCCCTCAAACAGCAACATCTGGTGCTCACTTTGTGAAACAAGGCTCGTCTTGCTGGGTGGATTGGCACACAAAGGTGGAAGATTGGCGTTAGATGAAAGGTAAACCTATTTTCTACAATGTTTCCAAGTTTCATCTTATTCTAGCCACTTGTTTGCATGTAACTAATATTTTTGTATATCATGTTGGTTTTTTCGTGTTAATGCCCAGGAACTCAGGTATAGGGGAGCAGTTAGGTTCAGGGTCTCAGGTCTAGCAAAGTTAAGGTGAACTCGGATGGTGAATTTATGTTATGAAGAACAATCTGTTTATCACCAGCAATTTTCTCGCTTGAATTCTTATCTGGATAAGAAAAAATCTCCGATAAAGAGAACCATTTCTTGGGTCCCGGTGATTTCTCCTTATTAGGTCGCTCTGTAGTAAATCATTCTGTAACAATTACCATCAAATGGTTTCCGCATAATATCTCAACTTACACAACCAGTCATGGATGAGGGTCAGTACAATACATGGTCTCGTCCGAAATAATCGATACAGGTATCCACAATATGCATGGCAGACGTGGCTGCAGAGTTCATGGCCGTCTCAAGGTCACTTTCTTTCAGTGATTGAATCCAAACATTAGGCTCGTCAGGAAACATGGCACGTGTCCGTCTCATGACCTTTATGGATGGGAAATTATAGCACAAATTGATAAGAAGTATATTTATTTATGGTTCATGCGCAAATAGCGATAGTATATAAAAGGAGTGTTCATTTGAAGCCAGTTCTGACGGCTTTGTTGCACAAGCATGAAAAAAACATAAATTTGTGTGGCAGAGTTAAACAAAGCATTCATTCTAAATATATTATACATCAAAGTCACACACAAAAAATGCCTCAGGCATTCAGGCAAGCATCCTATTGCTTAGACAGGTGACGAATATTGGATTGTGAAAAGGATTGTGGTTGCTCACTGAACCATGTGTTCCTCTTTTTGGTAGTTGGTCAGCATTTACGCTATCCACTGTGAACACTGCAGTTTCTCATAAACAACCTTTTGAATCCTACCAAACAACAAATTAAATGCTTCCGCTATGGAATGTATTCTTCGACATAGGTTTACTTGTATTGCTAATTTTTTGTTTGTTTAAGTCCATGCCGTGTGGCGTTGGTAGTCATGTCTGTTCACAACCTTGTCTCATGTACTTTCAGTCAACTCTGACACAGATGATCCTCCATGCCATGATGTCAAACTGTCCAGCATCTGTTCTCTTGGAATATTAAGCCAATTTATAACTGGCGTTATCAGTCGCCACAGTCTGAGGTAGATCATGAAGGTGGAATCAGAGGGCTTATGGGCTAGTCCGATGTACCATGAGGTTGACTGATTGACTAACTAACTAACTAGCTAACTAACTAACTAACTAACTAACTAACTAACTAACTAACTAACTAACTAACTAACTAACTAACTAACTAACTAACTAACTAACTAACTAACTAACTAACTAACTAACTAACTAACTAACTAACTAACTAACTAACTAACTAACTAACTAACTAACCAACCAACCAACCAACTAACTAGCTAACAAACTAACTAACAAACTAACTAACTAACTAACTAACTAACTAACTAACTGACTGACTGACTGACTGACTGACTGACTGACTGACTGACTGACTGACTGACTGACTGACTGACTGACTGACTGACTGACTAACTAACTAACTAAATAAACTAGCTAGCGCTAATTAGTTTTTTTTTAAATGTGAGTTTGGCATCAAATACTCAATGCATTTTGGCATTCATGGGTCCATTACTTTACACTTGACTTACTATATCAGCACTGAATGGCTTCAGATGGACATAAAATGCTCTGAACGACTAAGACCACCACACAGTACTGTGTGACTTAAAGATTCCAATGCCCGGCTGCTGAGATGAGTGCTTGATACGAGACTGTGAGCTATGAATTTCACATAGCATGTTTTTTCTGTTGTGCCCACATCATGTTATTGACTGCACTAAAATGGTGGGTGGCGGATTGCCACTTACATTCAGAATGGCGTGTACTTTTATTAAATGCAATGTCAGCTTTGCACCAAAAGTCAGCTGAAATTCTGGTATAGGTCCATTAGTGTTGGCACATCTGATGGCTGTTTTATGCATTTTTACTTTGCCCATGCAAGCTTCAAGATTTTGATGGGCCTGAGAAGTTTTTCACTAGTTTTCAAATGGGAAAGTGAACAACTTGTGTGATTGCTGCTGGCAAAGGGATGGAGCAGTTATGCAGTGATGCTAGAACTGTTATTAGTTGCCTTGAGTTGAGTTGAGTCAAGAATTGATATCACAGCACTCGGGACATTTCCATGTGTGCTCCGTCCTCATCTTCAGCAGCCAGCGCAAAGTTTTAATACTAATGGTACCGGTCGTAATCTGGTTATATGTCTGTCTTGCCTTTCCTCTGAGTGTAGTGAGCCAGCCAGACCCTCTGGTTACATGCAGGTGCCTCATTCTTTCCAGGCCATAATAATCTTGTTTTTCTACTGATTCTGTTGCTTGTTCCCAAAGGGCCTTGACCACATCTACCCTGTCATGTATCAGTTCACCACCCAGTGGTGCAGATCCAGCTAATCTGTCTGTCTGTTCTTGCCCACTACGCCGGCATGGCCTGGCGAAAAAAATCCAAAGTATGCTCACTACCTGTGACCTTCCCAGTAAAGCTTGCCACTCTGCTTTAAGCATCCCTATCTTCACCTTTCTCAGCATGCTTTCAGAGTCCGTTACAATTATGACATGTGTATACATCTTGTTCTCTAGCCACCGGAGAGCTGCAGTTACTGCCTTCGACTCCATTCTCATGCTAGATGTTGTGATGTCGTATGCTAGGCACTAAAGATTTTCTACTGGCTTTTGCTATGAACCCCCTGCTATTAACTAAGTAAGACAAATACTTCCACAACAAATAAATACATGAGGAATAACAGTCACCTCATCTCCTAAATAGCAGACTTTGCTACTGGTGGTCTGGCCCTCAGTGTGACATCGGAAACATTGCAACACTTCATACACTTCACTGGGGAAACTGGCAGTGGTTCAGATAACCTGGACATATATACCAGACATAAGGTCATCAGATTAACAAACAATTAACTAGCAGTTATCTAATATATAATTACTGAATGGAGTCATATATATATATATCATATATATAAACCAGTGTTTTCCAAACTTTTCTTGGCCGCGGCGCCTTTTTAAAATTAAAATGTTTCCATGGCGCCCTAACCTAAGTAAAAGTATGACTATTCATGTCTTGGTTAAATTAATTATGAAGCTTTTACAATATTTCATGGCACCCCCTTCAGCATGTCTCTCTGTGGCAGCTGGTACCATGGCATTCTCAACAGATGACCAAACCATTCTCATCTGTTGCTGTTTAATAAACCGTACGACTGGTTTCAGTCCTAGTCTTCTTCTGATTTGTTCACCTTTGATTTGATCTCTTCTTGTGTTCCAACACCTCTGTGGTGTAGCAGCTAGAAGCTGGTCTCAAGTCTAAAGGCTGTAGGTTCAAATCAGCATGGGGCTAGATTTTCTCAAACATGACCTAAGATGCCATGTTGACCCAGCCTAAAATTTGCACCTGGAAAGTAAAAGATGCACACAAGCTGTCCACTTTCCACCACACATGTCTACGTAGAATTATCAAAATTTTCTGGCCAGATACAATCTCAAACACTAAACTACTTCAAGCCACAAACCAAGAAACTTTAGACAGTATGATTACCAAGAGAAGATGGAAATGGCTTGGCCACATTATGAGAATGACTTCTGATATACCTGCCAAAACAGCTCTCACATGGACACCAGAGGGAAAGAGAAAACAGGGGCTCCCAAAAACAACATGGAAACGAACGATGGAAAGTGACCTGAGTGCGGCATCTTTGACATGGAAAACCACTGAAGATTGCACAGGACTCCATGGAAAGCCTCCCTGGCTCATGGCCACTAGGCATAACGAGAACTGATGATGATGATGAAGTAAAAGGTGGCTGGTGTGATGTGACCGCATCACCCACTGAGTGATGACTAATTTAAAAATATAGGTCTATCACTATATGCACAAAAGGCCTAATGGCATAGACAAGGGTCCTTTACTTTACTTATTACTCTGACAGCTCTTCTAAGACATCTCACCCCTGTTGTTTCTTTTCTCCAGGCCATGCCGGCATGGTGGGTAATAAACAGGCAGACAGATTGGCTGGATCTGCACCACTGGGTGGTAAGCTGATACATTACAGGGTAGATGTGGTCACGGCCCTTTGGAAACAAGTAACGGAGTCAGAAGGGAAACAAGATTATTATGGCCAGCTCACTACACTCAGAGGAACGGCAAGACGGACATACGACCGGTGCTATTAGTAATGGAACTATGCAGTAGCTGCTGAAGATGGGACACACATGGGAATGCTTGAGTGCTGTGATGTCAATTCTTGACTCAACTGACTCAACTCAACCCCTGTTGTTATGATTTTGCAATCATTAGTTTAAGTAAGGTTCTGTTTTTGACACTGGTAGCATAGACTAAGCCAAACAGAAATAGTTCTGATAAGATTTGCCTTGCTTACCTGACATATCAGTCCCCAAGCTGGTAAACGCTGTGTCTGCACTGAAATGGATGAAATGATCTGTGGAGCAAAAGAGACATTAAAATGCTTCTCTTTTAGTCCCAGAAGACTTCAAAGTAGAAACCCAATCTGGCACAATAATCACATTTTGTTTTTTCAAAAGGTATCCGCCTATCACTTTCAAAAAGACAGAGCTGAATTTAAAATATTTGCCAGATTTCTTCTGCCTACTTAGACCAGACATGAAATAAATAATAACATGCCATGTGTTGTGTTGATACACATAAACACAAACTAAGCAGACATGTGACAGATGGAGTTAATGGTGACAGGAGCGCCTTCAATGCACTGGGTTTTATACCATCTTGCTTAGTGTCTTTCTCCCCACTGAAAACATCCAGTGTCTTTCTCAACATAGAGAACACTCAGTGTCTTTCTCCCCACTGAAAACATCCAGTGTCTTTTTCACCATAGAGAACACTCAGTGTCTTTCTCCCTAAAAAGAACACTCAGTGTCTTTCTCTCCATAGAGAACAGTTTCTCCCCATAGGGACACTCAGTGTCTTTTTCCTCATAGAGAACAGTTTCTCCCCATAGGGACACTCAGTGTCTTTCTCCCCATAGAGAACAGTTTCTCCCCATAGGGACACTCAGTGTCTTTTTCCTCATAGAGAACACTCAGTGTCTTTCTTCCCATAGAGAACACCCAGTGTCTTTTTCTCCATAGAGAACAGCATCTTTCTCCCCATAAGGACACTCAGTGTCTTTCTCCTCACAGAGAACACTCAGCGTCTTTCTCCCTAAAAGAACACTTATTGTCTTTCTTCCATTCGAGAACACTGAGTTTCTTTCTTCCCATAGAGAACACTCAGTTTCTTTCTCCCCATTGAGAACACCCAGTTTCTTTCTCCACATAGAAAACACTCAGTTTCTTTCTCCCCATAGAGAACACTCAGTTTCTTTCTCCCCATAGAGAACACCTAGTGTCTTTCTCCCCATAGAGAACATTCAGTTTCTTTCTCCCAAAAGAGAAAACTCAGTGTCTTTCTCCACATAGAAAACACTCAGTTTCTTTCTCCCCAAAGAGAACACTCAGTTTCTTTCTCCCCATAGAGAACACCTAGTGTCTTTCTCCCCATAAAGAACATTCAGTTTCTTTCTCCCAAAAGAGAACACTCAGTGTCTTTCTCCCCATAGAGAACTCCCAGTTTCTTTCTCCACATAGAAAACACTCAGTATCTTTCTCCCCATAGAGAACTCCCAGTGTTTTTCTCCCCATAGAGAACACTCAGTGTCTTTCTCCCCACAGAGAACACTCAGTTTCTTCTTTTTATAGAGAAGGCTCAGTGTCTTTCTCCCCATAGAGAAGAAACTACACATAAAGCATACATTTCATGGCATAGAAAACATAACAGACCTCTAATTTTTTTTAAATAAAAATAACAGGATTAGATACATAATAATAATAAAAGACAAATAAGAAGGCAGCAAATTAAAAAAGGTATAAATATTCAGATAGACATATGTGCGCACGATCGCACACATGCACGCACACACACATAAAAGAGTAGAATAGAACTCTTTAACTAGTTCACTCTACCATCACTTTTTTCCTATCCTTTCAATATCTCATAAATGCACATTAGAGCACAGACACTTTTTCTGGTGTTGTGAAGAGAGTGATGTTCTGTAAGGAACCTGTTAATTGATGAGGATGAGACAGACAGACAGACAGACAGACAGACAGACAGACAGACAGACAGACAGACAGACAGACAGACAGACAGACAGACAGACAGACAGACAGACAGACAGACAGACAGACAGACAGACAGACAGGCAGGCAGGCAGGCAGGCAGGCAGACAGATGGATGGATAGACAGACAGACAGATATATGGAGAGACAGATGAGACAGTCAGGCAGACAGACAGACAGGCAAACAGATGGATGGATAGACAGATGGACAGATGTACAGACAGACAGACAGATGAGACAGGCAGGCAGACAGACTGACGCAAATACATACAGACATACATACTGACAGACAAATATACATATAGATAAACAGACAGAACAACATATAGACAAACATACAGCCCGACTGGCACAATGACAGGCAGACAGAGACTAACATATAAACATACAAATGTATTGGCAGAGGCACGCACAGAGAATTAAAAAAATGCAACAAAGACAAAATAATAGAAGAAAAAAACAAGCAAATGAAAAACAGCCCACTTTACTTTTAAATGCAAGAGGCTCAGTCGACTTCTCCATCCTGCCCAACCACATCAGAAGAACATACTCTAACTGAAGTCTGCTGGACTTATCAAAGGCTGTGATCTCCCATGTCATGGTTTTCAGGGGCTGCAGAGTCAACATTTTGTCACTAAAGCCAGTCGGGGCGGGAGCAGCTAGTATGCCTGTAGAAAGACAGAGCGGCCAAGTTGTGTGAAGTTCTTCTTAGTTATAGCTGACTATTTCATGGAATGGCAGTTGCGGTGGTGTAACGGCTAGACCCTCACGTGCGGATCTGAAGGTCCTGGGTTCGCTTTCTGGCAGAGCAGGACTTTTCCCCCAAAAATGACCATGACTCCCAGGTCGATCCAGCCTTGAGTGGGTACCGGGTGCAGTCCCCGGAAGTAAAGGCGGCGGGCGTGATGCTGACCACATCACCCATCATGGGTCCAATAGTCTTTAAAAATATAGGTCTAGTCCTAAATGCCTAAAGGCGTGGAAAAGGTATGTTTACTTTTTTACTTGTTTATTTCATGAATAACTGCAACCAATCTTTTGACACTTGTTTATTTCATGAATAACTGCAACTAATCTTTTGACACTTGTTTATTTCATGAATAACTGCAACTAATCTTTTGACACTTGTTTATTTCATGAATAACTGCAACCAATCTTTTGACACTTGTTTATTTCATGAATAACTGCAACCAATCTTTTGACACTTGTTTATTTCATGAATAACTGCAACCAATCTTTTGACACTTGTTTATTTCATGAATAACTGCAACCAATCTTTTGACACTTGTTTATTTCATGAATAACTGCAACTAATCTTTTGACACTTGTTTATTTCATGAATAACTGCAACTAATCTTTTGACACTTGTTTATTTCATGAATAACTGCAACTAATCTTTTGACACTTGTTTATTTCATGAATAACTGCAACTAATCTTTTGACACTTGTTTATTTCATGAATAACTGCAACCAATCTTTTGACACTTGTTTATTTCATGAATAACTGCAACTAATCTTTTGACACTTGTTTATTTCATGAATAACTGCAACTAATCTTTTGACACTTGTTTATTTCATGAATAACTGCAACTAAACTTTTGACACTTGTTTATTTCATGAATAACTGCAACCAATCTTTTGACACTTGTTTATTTCATGAATAACTGCAACTAATCTTTTGACACTTGTTTATTTCATGAATAACTGCAACCAAACTTTTGACACTTGTTTATTTCATGAATAACTGCAACCAATCTTTTGACACTTGTTTATTTCATGAATAACTGCAACCAATCTTTTGACACTTTGCATCGAACAAATGAACAAGTCTCTGTGGCAAAGTGGTCAAGCCGTCTGCCTTGCGCTCTGAAGGTTGTGGGTTCATTTCACAGCTATGCCCTTCAGTTCACAAGTGCAATTTTTACAGAGATTCCTGGGGACTGGCGCCGGAGCTACCAAGTTCGTGCCCTGTACGGCGCTTCTGGCAGGCGGCTAGCCATTCTGCGGAGAGAGAGACTAAGCCATACAGGATCAAACCTGGTGCAATGAAGTCGGTCCTCTCAACTGTAACTTTTGACTTTATACTCCTTGATTACCAGAAGGTTTTATCAGAGATTCTCATATATATAAATAACCAATAGGAAAAACTACCAGTGTATTGTTTTCAAAGACGCTAAATACTAGGGAAGCCAGATTTCTTAAAATACTGTAACCAGCTATGAAAAGGACTAGAAAATTTTACCTGTTGAGTGGGATTCACAGCAGTGCTAATTACACATCATGCATTGTTTGGGACTGACAGAGTTAAATGAACAAGTGACAAACCATCTTTATTTTCAAAAGGTTAAGAACTGAGCATGCATGTCCATCTAACATGTTGCGGTTCTAATTTCCTACCTTTCATACATCATTTCTTTCATACATCCTTTCTTTCATACATCCTTTCTTCATACATCGTTTCTTTCATACATCATTTCTTTCATACATCCTTTCTTCATACATAGTTTTTTTCTACAAACAGGAAACTGCAGGCTCAACTATCACATGCATAAAATAAAGATTGTACAGTCCCCGCAGTGTGTCTGTCAAACAGGACCACAAACACCTAAGCACATTCTACAGACCTGCCCACTCTACATATTACTTCGAAAAGACACCTGGCCTCAAGAGCAAAGTGTGCTGGCAAGCTATGGGGAACCATGCAGGACCTGCTACTGACATGCGAGTTCATAGAGGCAACCCACCTGAATGTCTGATCTGAGCATATGAAACCGAATGCAAAGAAGAAGAAGAAAATTCATCATTTCTTTCATACATCATTTCTTTCATACATCATTTCTTTCATACATCTGTTAACAAGTAATAGTCAAAACTATCAATAACAGCTAAATATTAAATATCAGCACTGGAATGTGCTCGAATTATGCCTAAATTTCTAACCACAGTACACCATAGTACCTGTAATCTAGGGGACAAATACCCTGTTTGTAAAATACCGCTTTCAAGCGGGAATGTAATCTGTGCTCAGATAATATTCAGTTTCCACTTGTATGTAAAAGGGTTAGTTGTATTTTTGATTTGTTATGGTAGACGGTTCCACAGTTGAGTTGCAGAGTAGCGACACTAGTTTTGTATAGGTCTATCCTATATGGGGATCTATCCATATGGGTAAACAGACACATTGATATAGTGTCAAAAAACCGGCCATATGCTGATGATATAGGTTTTCGTTGCTGAAAATCGCACAAAACTGCAAAAAATGATGGACGTAATTGTAACAGAAAGTCAAAACAAGGGTCTTAGTTTGAACAAAGGAAAAAACAGTAGCAAATAATAAAAAAAAAAAAAAAAAAACAAGAAAATCCCAAGATGCAACATCCAAGTAAATGGGGACAATCCTCAGACAAGTTGATTTTGTTACATACTTTGGTAACCCAGTATGGAAGCTGTATGAAAGAAGTTAAGTGCAAAATAGCTCAAGCAAAGGTGGCATTTCAAAAAATGAAGTATATTCTATGCAATCTTTCTTTTTTGATCGAGTTGTGGGGGCTGAGTGGTCTCGAAGCATAGCGTCCGACTCGAGTGCTGGAGGTCCCAGGTTCTAGCCCTGGTGAGGGCTAAGATTTTTTCACGTGGACTTCTAATAATTTCCCCTGGTCTCTGCATAGTAAGATCGGACGCTCGTGTGTATTGCTACGCACATAAAACATCCCTTGGTAGTTGGAAATCGAAAAGACTAGTTTAACGGCGCTGCCCAGGCACAATTTGGAGTTTAAAATCTACCCAAAGTATTTAAGGATCCTTGTCAGTGCTACGAAGTTCATGCACTGCGCTGAGATTCTTCAGACTCAGGTTTGAGTTAGAAGTAGAACGGAGCACTTCTGGGTTACTACCCTTGTGCCATGATGTTGATCTGTCTGCTACAGAGTTTGTGCACTGCGCTGAGATTCTTCAGACTTTGATATTGATTTGATGTTGAATCATAAACCTTGATGATTGAATAATGAGAACACCCTAAACAGATGAAATAAAATATGTTCAATAATCCTGTGACTGATTGAGAAAGGGAATAGCAAAGAACATAGGAAAAAGAATTAATCTTATAAATTTTTGGATAAATCAATATGGGTAGATAGGCATCAAGATAGACATAGGGACATATATATAGACTGATGGATGGGTGGATGGATGGATGGAGACATAGGTGAATGAAAGGATAAGTGGGTATATGGATAGATATAGAGGCAGCCCGATGGATGGACAACCAGGCAGAACGACTGGCAGACATAATATAGATGGGTAGACAGGCAGACGTACAGACACAAAGATAAACCAAGATATATACATACAAATAGACAGACAACCAGACAAATAAATAAACAGACTGAAAAGCAGGCGCGTGCACTGGCACGTGCTCACACACACATCCACACACACACACACACACAGGCACACAGTCAGACTGATATAGATGAGCAGATACATAGATAGATGGACTGACATACACACAGACAGACATATAGACAGACAGATGCACACCTGACAGTGTCCCATCCGGTGATATCAGGGATCGAAAAGTCTCATCCCACACAATGTTGTGATGATGATACTCAACAACATCAGATGAAAGACGATGGCCCACACAAGGGGGTGTGTGGTACAGCTGTGGAAATGTAGTTTATATTTATCTGTAATTCTTCTATCAGTGCTATCAGTATCAAACATGGACATCTTCAGACGACAGAAGGAAAATAGTCACAATATAAATTAAATGTTTCCGTACTATACTAGGTGTAACGAGGAAAGATCCACTTAGGAACCTTGATATCAGGAGGAGAGTCAGCACAGAACCAATACTGAACTTTATAGCTAGACAGCAGGTCAAATGGTTTGGCCATGTAACAAGACTGGCATGAGACAGGGCAATGTTATGCAGATACAACAGTAACAGTGCCAGAGGTCAACCATGCATGGACCACACAAATATTAGAGACGCTCAAAAGTACTTTATAGGAAGCAAACGGAAGGGCCCGATCTAGAGACCTCTTCTTACCCTGATGCTGTGAGGCATTCCAGGAGTAGAGATAACACGAAGTAATATTTCTTCTAGCATTTCATGTGGTTTTCGAACACCTGTATGAGAGTTGCACTGTGGAAGAGACTAGGGTCTTAGAACATAAAGTTCTCAGAGAAGGTAGTCAATGCTCTGCAGCCAAACTCCATTGTGGGGATGGTTCAAAGTTAATTAATTAACCCTTTGACCCAACAAAAATTTAAAAAAAAAAAAAAATTTTTTCTTCATATTCTGTAAAAAAAATTAAAAAAAAATAAATACACATTACAATTCACTGTGAGAACCGTTGTGGTCTAGCCGCTAGATGCTTGCCTGTGGATTGAAGGGTCATAGATTCGGGTCCTGACAGGGCTGGACTTTTTTCACAAATGACCTTGGCTTCCAGGTTGACCCAGCCTTGAGTGGGTACCAGGTACAGTCCTGGAAAGTAAAGGCGGCCAGCCATGATGCTGACCACATCACCCACCAAGTGGGTGTATAAAATATAGGTCTAGCTCTATAAACCTGATTTAGGTAACATCCGCTTGAAACTTAAAGAGTTAATATTCATTGCATTTAAACTCAAATTACTGGTACAGACAAGATTTAGATCCGCTTGATCTCAAAGAGTTAATGTTCATTGCATTTAAACTCAAATTACTGGTACAGACAAGATTTATGGGGCCTAGACTTATATTTTATAGACCAAACAGCACTTGGTGGGTGATGTGGTCAGCATCACGCTGGCCGCCTTGACTTCTCACAACTGTACTTGGTACCCACTGAAGGCTAGGTCGACCTAGGAGCCAGGGTCACTTTTGAAAAAAATCTTGCCCTCGTCAGGAACCGAACCTACAACCTTCTGATCCGCTGTTAGACGACAGCGGCTCCCCAAATTACTGGTACAAACAAGATTTAGGTAACATCTACTTGGGACTCAATGAGATCATATTTATATCATTTAAACCCAAAATTACTGGAACAAACAAGATTTAGGTAACATCTACTTGGGACTCAATGAGATCATATTTACATAATTTAAACCCAAAATTACTGGTACAAACAATATTTAGGTAACATCTACTTGGGACTCAATGAGATCATATTTATATCATTTAAACCCAAAATTACTGGTACAAACAAGATTTAGGTAACATCTACTTGGGACTCAATGAGATCATATTTACATAATTTAAACCCAAAATTACTGGTACAAACAAGATTTAGGTAACATTTACTTGGGACTCAATGAGATCATATTTACATAATTTAAACTCAAAATTACTGGTACAGACAAGATTTAGGTAACATCTACTTGGGACTCAATGAGATCATATTTATATAATTTAAACTCAAAATTACTGGTACAGACAAGATTTAGGTAACATCTACTTGGGACTCAATGAGATCATATTTATATAATTTAAACTCAAAATTACTGGTACAGACAAGATTTAGGTAACATCTACTTGGGACTCAATGAGATCATATTTATATAATTTAAACTCAAAATTACTGGTACAGACAAGATTTAGGTAACATCTACTTGGGACTCAATGAGATCATATTTATATAATTTAAACTCAAAATTACTGGTACAGACAAGATTTAGGTAACATCTACTTGGGACTCAATGAGATCATATTCATATAATTTAAACTCAAAATTACTGGTACAGACAAGATTTAGGTAACATCTACTTGGGGCTGAATGAGTAAATTTAATAAGTTATATTAGCAGCAACAGTTGGCATCTGTCACTAAGGCATTGACATTAAAAAAAAAAAATTCACAATGGTTAAAAACCCATATTTTTTTTTTTTTTTTTAATTTTAGCTTCACAAGGTGAAAGGGTTATTATGCTTTACAGATAGAGATTGATCCCCAAGTATCTGCAAATGTCAAACATCTTCCCTTGTGGGTTCCAGGGCACCGTTGTGGGAGGAAGACAGAATAAACAAGAAGCAGTTCAAACATACCACCCTTAGGCAAGCCTGCCATAACTTGTGATTAATCAAGGGTTTGCTGAAATGAGATCTCTGAGGCTGAAATGAGATCTCTGGGGCTGCAATGAGATCTCGGAGGGTGAAATGAGATCTCTGAGGGTGAAATGAGATCTCTGAGGCTGAAATGAGATCTCTGAGGGTGAAATGAGATCTCTGAGGCTGAAATGAGATCTTTAGGGCTGAAATGAGATCTCTGAGGCTGAAATGAGATCTCTGAGGCTGAAATGATATCTCTTGGGCTGAAATGATATCTCTTGGGCTGAAATGAGATCTCTGAGGCTGAAATGAGATCTCTGAGGCTGAAATGAGATCTCTAGGGCTGAAATGAGATCTTTGAGGCTAAAATGAGATCTCTGAAGCTAAAAATGAGATCTCTGAGGCTGAAATGATATCTCTTGGGCTGAAATGATATCTCTTGGGCTGAAATGAGATCTCTGAGGCTGAAATGAGATCTCTGAGGCTGAAATGAGATCTCTAGGGCTGAAATGAGATCTTTGAGGCTAAAATGAGATCTCTGAAGCTAAAAATGAGATCTCTGAGGCTGAAATGAGATCTCTGAGGCTAAAGTATCTCTGAGGCTGAAATCTTCTTCTTCTTTATCTTTGCCTTCGGTTTCGTATTATCAGATCAGACCATCAAGTAAGTTGCCTCTATGAACTCGCATGTCAGCTGCAGGTCCTGCATGGTTTCCCATAGCTTGCTCTGCACACTTTGCTCTTGAGAGGCTGAAATGAGATCTCTGAGGCTGAAATGAGATCTCTGAGGCTGAAATGAGATCTCTGAGGCTGAAATAAAGGCTCTGAGGCTGAAATGATATCTCTGAAGCTGAAATGAGATCTCTGAGGCTGAAATGAGATCTCTGAGGCTGAAATGAGATCTATGAGGCTGAAATAGATCTCTGAGGCTAAAATGAGATCTCTGAGGCTGAAATGAGATCTCTGAGGCTGAAATTAGATCTCTGGGGCTGAAATTAGATCTCTGAGGCTGAAATGAGATCTCTGGGGCTGAAATGAGATCTCTGGGGCTGAAATGAGATCTCTGGGGCTGAAATGAGATCTCTGAGGCTGAAATGAGATGAGGCTCAAATGAGATCTCTAAGGCTGAAATGAGATCTCTGGGGCTGAAATGAGATCTCTGAGGCTGAAATGAGATCTATGAGGCTGAAATGAGATCTCCAAGGCTGAAATGAGATCTCCGCGACTGAAATGAGATCTCTGAAGCTGAAAGGTGCAGATTTCACTGCATTTTAGGGTGTTAACATGAGCACAACTGAGACATTTTACATAAGAACATCAGGGAGGAAGGTGAGAGGAAGACCAAGGAACAGATAGATATATGGTGTAGCCCATACCTGCAAAAAAGATAAACAATTCCATTGTCCAAGCCACCCAAGAAGTGCAAGACAGATACAGAAAACCACAACACTTGGCTACAGCCTGGTATCACTGAGTCGATAAAAGAAAAAACAAAACAAAAAAAGCAGCAGAAGAGATAGAAGAAGAAGAAGAAGAAGAAACATGAACCCAACTTACCCCTAAAATCCTGTCCAACTGATAGAGAATGGCATATGCCTTGTGGTAAGCACGTGGGCCATCTTCAGATATGAACATAATCTTTTTCGCTGTGCCATCCCTGTCCTTTGACGGGTTGACAAAATTCAGCACAAACTTGCCTCCTCTGCCGAGAGACTTCATCATCTCCAAGGGACTCTTGAAATCTTGTTTACTGGCTGCTTTCTTCCATGCTTGCTCTTTTAAACCTGCGAACAGTTCAGTCATTTTAAATGTGGATATCCTCATGAGGGTTCAGGGACCCAACTGTAGGGGGAAAAACAGAATAGTCCCACTCCCTCCCAAACAAGTATTTCATAAGAGCCGACTAATTAAGGGTTTCCTTCAAAGTCAGAATGCATCTGCCTAAGAGGCAAGGAACCAACAGTCTGAGTAAAAATAAGCCAGATCTGTAAAATGGATGTGCACTCAAAACTTAGGTTCTGTAACAAGACCAAAGTTCAGAAGTAGATGAACAACAGCTGATCAACATGAAGAAGAAGTTGCTCATAGTTCTCCAGGAAGTCAGACAGGCGTCACTTCAGAGATGTCTGGTATTTAGTATCCTTTGGATCTTTTCTCCCTTGCATGTGGGAGTGTTAGGAAATGAACAGGCAGACAGAATGGCTACATCACTGGGGAATGAACCGATGCATAAAAATGCTAGATGTGGTCAAGACCTTTTGGTAGCAAGTGAACAATGCAGAAGCATAAACAAACTGTAATGGTGTGGAGAGAATGGTGTGGAGAGAATGGTGTGGAGAGAATGGTGTGGAGAGAATGGTGTGGAGAGAATGGTGTGGCAGGGAGTCCGGCCATACTCTACACTCAGAGAAATGGCAAGATGGACATACAATCAAACTGCTACTGGTAATAACTGCACTTGAAATCTTTGCCATCTGCTGAAGGTGAGGATGGAGCACTTACTGTTTATTATCACTATGAAAGAAAAATTTCTTTCAACAACAAATTTTTGTTACTTAGCCCGGGAAATAACGCGAAATCTCGCATCTATGATATCTCGCTACATACAGTTTAAACAATTGGTGGCTGGCCGCCGAAAGCTGACTACTTTAACTTTGAAAAAAAAAAAAGATTGAACTTTTGGAAGAGACTGAACATAGAAGGAAGAAGAAAGTGGATATAGCTAGGGAATATGGTATCCCAAGTTTGACGCTTTCTGGCATTTTAAAGCTTTCTCCCAAGGAATGTAAAATCAACATTGACAGACAGCGAGCTAGAACAGCGACATGCCGTTTTGTTGATCCTGCCCTTTTAAAATGGTTCACTGAACTTAGATCGGCAAATGTACCCATGAATGGGCCATTAATTAGGCAAAAGCAGAGGAATTTGCACGTCTTAGAGGTCAGACAGACTGGAAATGTAGTGCTGGCTGGTTTGATTGTTTTAAAAAAAATATACAAGAGCGTGTGTGGAGAGAAACAATCTGTTGATGAAGCGACTAATTCATGGAGAGAAGATGTGCTTAAACCTGCTTTGGCTAAATATAATTCTGTACCTGTGTTTTGGCAGACATGAACTAAATTAACATTTACATGATGCAGACTGGGTGCTCTGATGATGTAATCTCACCATTTGTTGCATTTACACATACCATGGAAAGACATTTTTCACAGTTCAAAAAGCAAAGCAAAATCATACTTTTTCTTTAATTAATGTCTGAATTTGTATATGGTTTTAATGTTATACCTTCTAAAATAATTAAATATTTCAACAATAATGATATTCTTTTGCTACTTATTTGTTAAATTATGGTGTTTTCCTAACTGGTATAATTGTTTTACTCAATGCTACTGCTTGGTTTTAGTGTACATTCTCTGTTGTGTGTGCTGTCTGGATAAGTAGAAGTCCTGATAAGTGGAAGCATTTTCTTAGGTCCCTTCGACTTCTACTTATCCAGACTCGATTGTACCATCATTTCTCTTGATCTGCCTCTGTCTCTTCTACCAGTGATCTTTCCAGTCGTCACATTATTTTCCAGTGCTCTTTTTCTCATCAAATCACCAAAGAAATTTGTTTGTCTCCTTCTCATTGTTGTACATAATATGACCTTCATTAGCCATTTCCAGGCAGTCATTGTTAGTTATTCTGGCAGTCCAAGGTATTTGCAAAAACTTTCTCAAGCACCACATATCAGTTGCTTCCAAACTCTTCTTAGTTTGACTCTGTCTACCAAAGCAAATTTAATAAGAATTACTTTTATTGGCTAACCTAATGCTACTAGTGTCAAACATAGACCCTTACTACAACTAATGAGCAAAAAACTGAAACAATAGAGATGAAATGTCTTAGAATAGATGCCAGAGTAGAGATCAAATTAAAAAGGAATAGATTTGAAGAAGACTTGGATAAAAGAATGAAGCTTAGAAAGCTGAAGAGGAAGAATTCAGAAACTGAGTACCTTTATATCCTTGAGTGGGTACTGGGTGCAGTCCGGGGAAGTAGAAGTGGTCGGCGTGATTTTGACCACATCATCCATCTGTGCTGACTGGTCTATAAAAATATAGGTCTAGCCCTATATGCCTAAAAGCGTGGAAAAGGGTCCTTTACCTTTTCTTACCTTTATATCCTAGATGATTCATCAAACTTTTCTCCAAGATATTACGACCGGACACTTGACCAAGCATGACTTGATTCAGACAGGTTTGAACTCCCATGGTCGGCACACTTTCTCTACCCTGACTCTGATCCTGCTGAGTCCTGCTTTCATCCTTTTCTAATGTTTTTTCTTGTCCTCGTTTGATGAACAGCGTAGTTTTAAAATCTACTGATGGTTTAGTATCTACTGCATTCTTCAGCACAACTTTCATTACATCTGCACATAAACAAGTTGAAAAGAAAAAAAAAATTATTATAGATGAGCTGCCATTTCTTTACACTTCACTTCAAAATCTACATAAAAATGTAATAGGAAATGTCAAAAATAATGAACGAAACTAGACAGGTTGTTACAAAAATGATGAAAAGAAATAGACAGGTTATTACAAAAATTATGAACAGGAATAGACAGGTTGTAACAAAAATGATGATCAGAAATAGACAGGTTGTTTACAAAATTGATGAACAGAAATAGACAGGTTGTTACACAAATTTTGAACAGAAATAGACAGGTTGTTACAAAAATGTTGAACAGAAATAGACAGGTTGTTACAAAAATGTTGAACAGAAATAGACAGGTTGTTACATAAATGTTGAAAGGAAATAGACAGGTTGTTACAAAAATTAAGAACAGAAATAGACAGGTTATTACAAAAATGAAGAACAGAAATAGACAGGTTGTTACATAAATGTAAGTAAATTAACAGGAACAAATACACACTGAAAATTGTAATGTTAGTTGATGATTCTAGTAAAATCAGATCTTATTGTGAGTTAATGATTAATCAAATTAGATGTTAAAACTAACATCACTCAGCAGCTCCAATATACTATTCTCACATACACAAAGACAAAATGAAAATATATTTCAGCTTCTGAGTGGCTGGAGACAGCTGCTAACACATAGCTCTGGTCGTCACTCAGCCGCTCCTCTAGAATACACACATACATACATAGAAAGAACAAATACATTTCACATAGTTTCAGCTTCTGAGTGGCTGGACACAGCTACTAGCACATGGCCCTGCTCGTCACGCAGCCGCTCCTCTAGAACATAAACACAAAAAGCATAAACTTCTGGGCAGCCGTAGCAGCACAGTGGCTACGCTCTTGCACGCTGGAACAAAGGTCTTGGGTCTCAACCTACATCAAGGAAGATTTTTTTCACAATTGATCTTGCCCCCCTCCCCTCCCCTCCCCAGGTTGACCCAGGATAAAATGTCTTGGGAAGAAAGGTATGGCACTAAACATTTTACCCACCATGGGCAGTGTCTGGCATCATATGCCCATGAACCATTGACAATAAAAAGGTCCTTTATTCTACTTGTATCTATCTCACCAGGGCCTTTTCTTTTGGGGAAAATAGTACCAGCACTTATCCCTGTCTAAAGAAAGGAGGTGCCGGTACTCACCACAAGGTGTTTATTACAACACCGCTGAAAACAAATAATGCCCAAGAACAATTTCAGGTACTGCATCCCATTTTGTGCCACACACACACACACACAAACAAAGCCCTACATCTCACTCACTTTCAGCTTCAGGATGGAGGGAAAAGGCTACAAACGCCTGGCAATGGTCATCGGTCAGACACAACTTGGCAGCGGCTCTCAGGTTGGTCACAGTGAAGACACATCCCCATGACTCCACGCTTCCCTGGCAGTGGTAGTCATACAGGGAAACAAAGTTCTTCTGCTCGTAGCGGATAAACTGGGATAATGCCTTCTGAGTTTCGGCTTCTTTCTGTGGAAGAGGCAATATTTTGTTAACAATATTTATGGCTTAGTGGAATCAGGCTTCTTTTTTTTTTCCCCCATTGTTTTTTTGTTTTGTTATTTTTTTGCAGGCATCAATTACTTCAGAGGTGCTAGGTAGTTAGCGTTCTTTGGAGATTTTCTCCTGGTCATGCTGGTGGTGTGTTGGGAAATGAGCAGGCAGATAGACTGGCGGGTTCTGCAACACTTAGTGGTAAATTGATGTATGACAAGCTAGTTGTTGGGACGGCCCTTTGGGAGCGAGTAAACAGTGCTGAGGCACAAACAGATCATTACAATCTAAGGAAAATGGCAAAATGGGAAGTTACCAGGAGATGTGGCCGATGTTCAGTACTCAAGGGAAGGGCAACATGGATGTACAATTAGACAGTTAATGGTAATTGGAACTCTTCTCTTCGCGCTGAAGCAAAGATAGGACAAAGTTCTGTGATGTCGATTCTTAATTCAACATTCCATCTTTTTTTGTTCTTTAAAGGTCTCCCTTTTTCTGAGACCCCATTCTGGGAGAGAAAAAAGAATAGACCCACTGCCACTCTAACCACCTTTACTTCCCGAGACTTTACCTGGTACCTGTTTAAGGCTGGGTCAACATGAGAGTCCAGATTATTTTTGAAGAGAAAATCCAGCTCCGTCAGGACCTGAACACACAACCTTCAGATCCATAGGCAAGTGTCTGGATGCTCCACCATAGCGGCTCCTCTTCCCTACTGTGGCAGATGATGAATCATGGCAGAGCAGCAAAAGAGAGATCATGCAGTGGAAGCAGACTGGATCGACAAATGCCAAAACATTCAAGTGACTGATGTCAACATCAATCTACCCACTACTAGGAAACCACTTGACAAGCTGCATAAAGCCATCACATACCGGCTTGCTTTCTCGCATTGTGACCCCCCCCCCCCCCCCCCCCCCCCCCACAAAAATATTTGTTCATGTGTTGCAAAGATTATGCAGGAAGCATTAGCAAGGAGAAGAAGTGGGAAATTCTGTAACATCAAGAGTATACTCCAGATTTGTCACCATATAATTTTCATTTGACTAGATCTCTAAAAAAAGCTTTCTAGAGGGAATAATCTCATACAGACGCAGACGTAATAATGCAGTAAACACGTGGTTCACTGAGCAAGCAGATGCTTTGATGTCTATTTTCTTGGTTTGTGTGTGTGTGGACGGCATCTGACGCCTACCTAGGCTATGCAATACTTGACTGAATGCCTGTGGCAAGTCTTCTGACCAATCCATGGTGCATAGCTAGTTCTAAATGAATGCTCTGTTTCATTCCGACACACCTGTTGATGTTTTTTCATGCTTTTGTAATAAAGCTTTTGTAGCCGGTTTCAAAGGAGCATCCTTTATAAATAAAAGTTATTTGGTAAACTTACGTCATAAAATTATAAATTTCATCGAATGCTGTATATGCAGCTGATTACGAGTTTAAAAATCGAGGTGCGGTGACTTTTTCGCACCGAGCAAATTTTTTGCTTCTGCCGGACGGTGGCCGTTGCATTTTTTATCCATTTGAAGACCGAAATGATACTGTTCTGTCGCGCCAGCTACTGAGTTGAGTGTATGGTGCGACCCTGTGAGCTGCGGATTTCATTTGGAATGTTTTTCGACTGTGACTTACGTGGCGTCGTGAACTGTTGATTCAGAAAATGGCGTGTGGCCTTTCGCCGCAACATTGGTGGGTGCCCTTATGTGATTTATATTGATCGCGTGTGCAACTGCTGATCTGTTGGTGACTTCTGCTACCGTCGATAATGAACTGCATTTCTGTTGTCAAACTGTTACCGTATGGCTACCGTATGCTTTAAATGCGTGTGTATGCTAGTGCATATGCTGAGACAGCAGACTGCCAAATCTTTCCACAAGGGACTGCGACGAACATTCTGTGTGTTTTTTGTTGGCACAGGAGCGGAGCAACTATGGGGTGACCCGTTTGCTATGAAGCTGAAACTAAGATTACCAAGATTACTGAGTTTAAAAATCATAATCTATACAGCAACGTAGTCTTGGAATCATGTAGCCGCTAAACGACTAGGCAGAATTTTTTGGGCAGACTATGAGGACATTTTCTTGCTGACCACCAGTGTCGCCCACAGACCACTAGTGTCACCCACAGACCACCAGTGTCACCCACAGACCACCAGTGTCGCCCACAGACCACCAGTGTCACCCACAGACCACCAGTGTCACCCACAGACCACCAGTGTCACCCACAGACCACCACTTGATGGCGCACAATTGCAATTCACGAAATATAATAGCAATAAATTGTGAAATCTATTGTTTATGTCTTTATTCAAATTTACAAATCTTGTTCATACCTTTCTTGAATCAGATTCTTGGTTACTGAGGTGTCCCATGCGATGGTGCCCTCTGTTTGTCATCTTATCAGTTTCTTCTGGATAATCAAACATGACTGGACCTTCAGGTGCTGTGAGCCAAATAAGAAACATGAATCAGGTAACTTTCAGTAAGCAAAAACATCACGGGAAAATGACATCTGTGGCTTAGGCGTTGCAACGTGTGCTTTTTAATGCCGAGTTTTATTCCAGCTTCAAGCAATTCAGCAACAGACCGCCTTGCATTGGTTTTGACAGTGGTATCGAGACTCGACCATAAAACTGCCTAGTAAAATCACCCCACAAAAATGCTGGGGTTGGTTCTGCAAAGGACACACAGGTTTTAGTTTTAGTCGAGGTTACAATTTCGCTGCAGTCGGGTCACCCCATACTTGCTCCGTTCCTGTGACAGTGAAAATCAAATTGAAGTCCCTCAATGTCCCATTTGAAAAGCTGATGAACAAACAATTAGTCCCTGGACAATCCAGAAATATGCGCACACAGTAAATGCATGTGGCACTCGCTAGAGGTGCCAAGGCCAACAGTCGCCACCAGACACAAAAGCAGATTGTCTTTGACAGAAGTAGTCAGGCACGATAAGTTCGCTATACACACATAGAATTATTACATAAAGTATTTCAACAGCTCACATGCAAACCAGATATTGGCCATACTGAATACCACAATACAACTGCTGCGCAAATAAAAGGCAATCCACAACTAACCTGCTAACTGGAAACTCTGCTGTTAAAATGAATATCAAACAAGGGGCATAAGAATCACCATAACTTCAGTTAGGACATTACCAAAGTTCTCTGCTCCTTCCTCGACAGTCAACAAGGATTAATGGTGTCAGTTGCAGACTGACTAAATGTCTTTTCCCTGTGCATTGAAAATCCTCCAGAACTTTAACGCACTTCCAGTTGAATCAGTCTCTCCATAAATAAACACCTTGTTCTCTTGTACTGTCCACTGGATTCCAGATAGCCTACATCATTGCATGCTTTATTACCCAGAGGTCACAGTCAGTGAAAGTCCGACGGATATTTTGCCCGGGCGATTCAGGTGTTTCTGGAAATGAGCAGGCAGATAGGCTGGCTGGACTGTACTCACTTGGGGATGTGCTGTAACTGCACAAGGCAGAGGTGATCTCTCACCTGTTGGAGGCGAGATAACAGATAAAATGAAAGGTCCTGAAAACTGATACCCGGAGAGAATGTTGCAGCATGGTGTCTTTGGGCTCTGGGCTCGAGACTCAGGAGACAGGCAAGATGAATAGTTAACCAGATGACAATGAGTAGCATCAATATCCAGACTCTGTGCTGGCTGTTAAGGAGGAAGGTGGGGGCTAATATGGGGTGTCCTGAATGCTGGTGATTACACAATACAGCTGAATGTCTAGGGAAGAAAATCTAGGATATGCTCTTAAAAGGGCAGTTAACACATTGTATTGTGGCTTACAGCTAGGCTGAGATATCTGCACCTTTTTGCCAAACACATCCAGTTTAAAAAATGCTTAATCAGTCGCCTTTTACAACAACATGCTTGTTAAGAAACAGTGGGTCTTTTCTCTCCATTCCCCCCCCCCCCACCCCAAAAACTGACTGGGTCCTGGAACCCACACAAGATTGCTCAGGTTCAGAGTCTTATCAAGTTATGCAGGCCACTCTGAGTGAGGGACAAATGTAATCCACAACACATCAAAGTTCAATCTCAACATTACAAAACTCAATCTCAACACTACCAAGTGCCATCTCAAAACACCAAAACTCAACTTAAACGCTACAAAACTCATCGCAACACTACAAAACTCAACTTCAACCCAACACTACAACATTTTACAACACTCAGCCTCAACTTACAAAAACTAAATCTCAACATTACAAAACTCAATCTGAACACTTTGAAACTTCAATATCAGAAAACTCAATGTCAACACTATGAATGAAACCCAGTCTCAACACTAAAAAACTCAATCTGAACACTTTGAAACTTAACTTCAACATTATAAAACTCAACCTCATAATTACAGAAAATAAATTACTGAACAATGACAGGAAACTCAAAAAAGTCAATGCTTTCATCATCAAAATTACACAATAATTATTATTATTAGTGTTATACTGAGGGGGCATACTGAGAGAATGTCAAATGAGAGAGAGGTAAAAACTGTAAACACAAGGAAGCTGAATGGTCATAGACCACGAGGCAGACCAAGAAGATGATGGAGAGATAATGTCTAGACATACCTGCAAACACTTGATGTTAACAACTGGAAAGAGAAGGCCAACAAGAGAGATGAGTTGAGGCAGGTGATATCTGCAGCAATGAACCTCAATGGCTCAGAACGCTGAAGAAGAAATAGAAGAAGAAGAAGAAAAAGAAGAAGAAGAAGCAGATTATGATTATCCTTCTTTCCCTCTTCTTCTTCTTCTCTGATTTTTCTGTCAGAAATGTACATTACGAGGCTGGTAGCCTTGATGAAAACTATTGTGTAGTTTATATCTTCCTGTGTACCATACAGCTTTGTCTTCATTGAGGTTTTAACAGGCCAGACTGCTTCTCTGTTGACAGCATAAAGTTGACAGAATACATGCTCAGTATATTATCTAGTGCCACGCTACAGGGACACATCTCCCTGAATTCACCCGGCTACAGGGACACATCTCCCTGAATTCACCCGGCTACAGGGACACATCTTCCTAAAGACACCCTAAACATCCTCAAATTCACATTCAAAACTTCAAAATGTAACCAGAAATATCTACAAAACAGAAATTGTGAAGCTATTGTGGTGTAGTGGTTGGTCTGCTCCCCTAGTAGACATGGAACTGGGTTCACCGCTAGAGTGTATATGCTAATCTTTTTTGTTTCTGTCAGGAATATGCATTAGCTCTACCCCTTGTTGTTCCTGCTGTTCGTCCATCACGAGTGATGAAGACCACTTTTCATCCAGATAATTGGATGAAAGTGACTTGTGCAAGGACTTGGATTTAAGTGAGACCTCACTCTCTCGCCTGTGTCCATCTTGATCCAATGGCAGGACAACGTTGAGATGATTGGAAATGGACCTAGGTGCAGTAGATGACCAAAGCCTCTTAAGTGCCCTGCCTTGCAGTTGTACCTCAAAGTTAAAACAACTCAGCGATCAGAAAAGAGTTAAAACAAAATTCTTTAGCCACATCTTCTTTGGTCCTTCAGTGAGAAAACCTTATTTCAGGAGGCCAGTGGCCCTGATAAAAGCTATTGTGCGGTCTAAATGGTACTGCGCGTCATACAACTCTGTTTTGATTGAGGCTGGAACAGGCCAGATGGCTTCTCTGTTTGCAGCCTACATTTACAAGACTTTTTAAACTAACCGGTTATGTGGTTTTTCCTAGAAATTTTGTGTGTGTTAAGAAATAAAAGTGAGAAGATACACTTTGTTGTCCTGAGTTTCTCTAAATATAACAGCTAGCAACTTGCTAAGAGTCTCACACAAGGCATGAACTCCGTACCTCCGGCAAAGATCCTCAAGGAACTCCGTAAAAATTGTATTTGTAAACTGAACTTGGCAGCCCTTAAATAAATCCACAAAGTTCAGAGCATGAGGAAAATGGCTCGATCACTTCACCATGGAGACCCCTTATTAACTTCTTCTTTGGGTTCACCAGCTGTAAACTCTAGTGGAAAGTTCTGGTTGTTCGTCCACTTCTGGACTGAAGTCCTGTTCCAGAACCTGAATGTTACGCGTGCATCCGTTTGACAGATATGACATATTTGTGTGCAGACTGTTGGTTTCTTGCCTCTCAGGCAGATGCACTCTGATTTCAAAGGAAGCTCCCAATTAGTCAACTCTTGCGACATGCTTTCGGGTAGGCAGTGAGCCTATTCTTGTTTGCCCTATAATAGGGCCCCGGAACCAACACATTGGCTCCGATTAACATTTCTTGTGTTTAGTAGTTTGCTGGCAGCAATGTCAGCGTAACAGCTAGACACTTGCCAGCCTGCCCAGATGTCATGTGTTTGAATCCGGAAAATCTGATTATTTATTTATTATCTTAGAATGATCTTGGCTCCTAGGCTGATCCGACCTAAAATGGGTAACAGGTAGTCCTGGAAAGTAAAGATGGCTGATGTGATGCTGACTGGTCTAAAAACAAAAAGGGTGGGGGTAGATTAGCATCAAATGCTCGATAAACCAATAACATGAAAAGGGTCATTTGCAGGGTCACGCCATGCACTCAACTCAGTAGCTGACCATGGAGTCCCACAAGGGACTGCGACGAACATTCTGTGTGTTTTTCGTTGGCACAGGAGCGGAGCAGCTATGGGATGACTCGTTTGCTATGAAGCTGAAACTTAGATTACCAAGATTACCACGGGTCATTTGCATTAACTTACTTAGCAGTTTTCCACTGCTTTCTGAACTGTAGAATTCTCAAACCATTGTCAACAAAATCAACACAAAGAGGTTCGTAAAAGATAACCAAATCACAATGCAAAAAAATTGATACAAATAACTGACTCTCATTTAAATCGCTGAGGTTTATTCGGAAATTCTAAAGTTTAGCCCAAAAAAAAAATACAACAAAAGAAATTGGGACACTCAACTTTCTCAGTCCCAAGAAGATGACACTTTAATCCCTTTTTGTCTCAAAAAGCTAAGCATAAGACATTCTGGGATCAAGTGGGTAGTACAGCAAAACGGAGTCTCTATCAAAGTTAGCTTCATAACCTTTACAGAACATTGGAGAACCAACCAGAACCTTAGATGTCTTTTGTTTGTATGTAATTCTATGTTCAACAGTGTGCCATTGCCTTCTGAATGTTAGGCTCTCAATCCCGCTTTCAAAATCACTGCAATGTGGTCTGCACCTAGAATCGAAACTCTAAATTACAAAGCTATTTTGTAATGCCAAAGCCACAGACAGAGTATCTATATCTAATTCAGAATACCTAATTCAGAGGGGAGATAGCAGAGGGTCTGTAAGATACTGTGCAGGAAAGGAGACAAGACTTTGATTGAGGTCTCCACTGGCACTATTGTGTGCCTTCACCAACTAGCAAAGAGTTCCTATTATGATGGTACCAGTAACAGTTTCATGGTTTC